TGCCAGTACGAGACTCGAACCCACAACCTTTGGGTTATGAGTCCGACTCTCTAACCATTAGGCCACGACTTCCCTAATATTTCACAATATTGCAGTTTTTACTGTATTTTTGATCAAATAAATGCAGCCCTTGTGAGCATAAAACACTTCTTTCAAAAACATAAGGACTTCAATGTTTTGATGGTACTGTGTATCTCTTTACATTTTGAACAAATCGCATGATGCAACTTCATTTCTGTGTTCCAGCATACAGGATCAGGGGACGAGGGAGGTGGACAGTCTCTGGCATCAACAGGAAGCTGTTTGCAGGACTTCCGCAGTCAGCCGTTCGTGGAGTGCCAAGGTCCGCGTGGCACGTGCCAATATTCCCCCACCTTCTACAGTTTCTGGCTGACTAGAGCGAACATGCAGCACTTTGACTCCGTTCCTCACAGTACTGTGCTCAACGGACAGAAACAGCGCGATAGCATCAGCTCATGCAGCGTCTGCATGAAGAAAAACTGACACAAGTCTCTCGTGTTTTCTAAAAAAAAAAACTGCACTGAGAATGCACATCAATAGGTCACTGGAGTGGAAGTGATCGAGATGCTTTTGGTCACTTTTTTTGGAGACGATAAAAAGGACATCATTTGTGACCATTTTTGTTGAACTACAGGCTGTGAACTTTTTACTTCACCGGATTTGTTCCCACATAGCTCAGTCTAACATGACTTCCTTTATGTCTTCTCATTTTTATTACATGTTGGTGCTAGTAAAAACCAAGACCATTTGCAGAAATGTCTGTACAGCAATGTACATTTTCTCATTAGTTCCTTGTATAAGCAAGTATTATGTTTGTGCACATCAAAACATTATCAACACAATATTGTAATGCTAGTTTAGCTCTATGGTGCGATTTTATACCAAAACAAAGCATGAATATTGAACCTTGAGAACAAAACCAATATCAAATAGGACCGTCTGCTAGCTGCAGATAACTAAATTGCTATTGCTGTCAGTGTAAATGCAGCTTTTGGCAGGTAGTTGCATTTTTTTTTTCTGTATAGAAATCAGCAGATTACTGGATTTCTACACTTGAATTTATCATTTTCTTGAATTTAAACCAAGCATTGTGCAGAATTAAGTTCTGGTCGCATTTATCATTGTTCAGCGAATTATTTGGGGAAAATCCAGTCATTTCAATTGGAATCCACGTGATTTCACTTGAAGGTGAGAGATTTTACCATGCAGATTTCCCAACTGGTTCAGAGAATCAGCTGACCAACAGACAGCTGCTTGGTTTGAAAGTGACGTATGTGTGTGCTGTGCGTCAAATATTGCTACACTATTGACAATAGAAAATTGATATTTTGCCTGCATGTGATAACCCCTTTACTGTTTAACTCTTTTAACTGAATTAAGGAACTACAGGAAACCAAGACAACATTTTTTAGCTGTTGATTTGTAAAATTAGGAAGATTTAGACATTTGAGAGACGCATCTCAAGCCAACATTCAAGTCATATGAAAATTAACCATGGTTTTACTACAAGTAAAACCAAACAATCATGGTTTAGTTAAACCATGGTAACCACAAATTAGCCATGGTTTTGCTACACTTATTGTATTTGTAGTAAAACTGTGGTAATACAAATGGAAATCAATCTGGAAAAAAAAACATGGTTACTACACTTCTACTATAATAAAACCATAGCTACTTTTTTTGTAATGTTTGGGTATGTTAGCCTTGCTAATGCTGTGGAACTAAAAATGTATTTGTCTGAAGATTCTACAACATCAACCAGCAAACATTTGAGTTTCCATATCTCCATGTGGCAAATACTAGCATTAGCAGGTCAATATGGCTGTAAATGTGAAAGGTATGAGGATATAAGACTTCAGTCAGTAGTTAGATGTTAAACAACCCCTTATTTCATAGGTCTTCAACCCTGCTCCTGTGGACCCACTGTCCTGCAAAGTTTATTTCCAACCTGCTTCAGCACACCTGGCTTCTGACTCTTCCAAGTGATCCTGAAGACCTTGATTAGCTGGTTCAGGTGAGTTTGATTAGGCTTGGAGCTGAACTCTGCAGGAAAGTGGGTCCCCAGGTGCAGGGTTGAAGACCTATGCCTTATTTCATTGTTTCTATACATACTATGCAGTTCCTAATAGACCCTTCTGGCCACGAGGCACATTTTTAAAGTACTGTTTAATGTAGTTATAATAAAAAAATAGTTCTTCTTCTTCTTCTGGTGTTTGTGAAAGGACCGTTGCCATCAAACTTCCCATTCATCATTATTGGACACTTGAAAGTCTTTCCTGCTTATTTTTTTATATATATATTTTTTCCCCTCTTGTTGTCTAAACTAACACAAACCATTAAATGAAACTAACACCTTCAGTATTTTACAGTCCACATAAGGGGTCCTAAGGAGTTTTTATTCTGAACATGATATATTCTTCTGTATGTACATATGATTGCATTGTTGACAGAACAGCTTTGCTTTATATTTTTACGAAATGTCAAGAGTATTTATTTAGCTAGAGATATTTTGGTGCTATTTTGGATGGAAATGAAAAACTTATTCCCTTTTAAAAAGAAGTGATTATTTTTGTCTGATTTTGTGGTTAGAAATTAAACTGTGCTCCATCCTTAGCCAATGTTATGCTAGTGTGTTGTGTTACCATTAAATATTCTATAAACCACTTCTGTGGCTTTGATAAAGTTTAAGTATAGGTTAAAACATGAAAACATGATAAATATTTTGTAGCACTGTAAGTATCTTTACTGTCAGTTTCCATTAATTTAATGCATTTTTGCTAAGTAAAAGTATACTCTTCTAGGTTCAAAAAACTGTCGTCCATAAAATGCGTTGCACAAATTCGAACATCTGGGTTGTGCTGTTCTGTTGTAAATAAATCTTAACCAATGATTCCTAATTGCACCTACATCCGGAAGGCCAAATAAAGTGCTTTTGCTTTTGCAATGAAACACACAGCGTCTCCCTGACATGGCTGCATCAACATTACTGCTGTTCCTGAAACCACGCCTTCTTTCTTTGCGTGCACATTTGGGCGGCATTATGCTAATATTTCCACATAGTGATGTAGATATGTGGGGGCGTGTTAGAGCGAGGCGTTTTAGGTAGGCGTGGCTGACTCTTATTTTTTTTTAAAAAGTGAATAGTAGTGTAACGTATATGTACTCTGAAAATGGATTGTCATGCAACTAAATGCAGGGAGTCTCTCTTACACAGTGATTTGAATAATACATGTAAACTGGATTTAATTATATATTTGTAATTACAATCAAATTTAATTTTTACTAAATATTTTATAATATACCATATAAAAAGGGCATGTCTTGGAACAAATGCAAAACCAGCAAGAACATACCATAATAAGAATGATTTATGTTTATTTACAAAAATATACGAGAAAGGAAAACTTGAAATCGCATCATATGACCCCTTTAAGAAACAAAGTATAAGTTACTTAGGAAGAAATGTTGTTTGGAAATAATCAAGTGCTATAAGCTTGAGAGATTTTACATACACTTAGTAAGACTTACTGGCATGCTGACAAAATCATCTTACTGTACATTCAACACACTGCAGAAAAGCACATCCACAACCATGTGTCATGGATATTCAATTCATTAATGTTCAATTTTTAACATTAAAGTAAAGAGATTAGCATTTACAGCAAAAACAAATGTGCATACTTACAAACATGTGCAATTAGAAATACAGCCAACAGCCTTTGAAACCTCCCATTGAAGACATCATAAAAGCTATTCAATGACACAATCAGTCAGCAGTGGAAGAATCCTCTCCGCTAGCTTGAATCGGTTGTTTAGTGCTCTCTTTGATGTGACCAATCTATTAGTATTATCATTATGTGCCACATTCTCCAATTGTTCAGCTGTTAAATCTCTGAAGTCGTCGCCAGCGGATCTCTTCAGGAGTTGGGTTAGACTGGGTATATGTGCCATGAGTATGACTACCTACAAAACAAAAATAACAATGCTACACATTGTAACTGCTAGTACTGTAAAAAATGAAAGGAATAGTTCACCCAAAAATGAAAATTTGCTGAAAATGTACTCACCCTCAGGACATTCAAGGTGTAGATGAGTTCTTCATCAGAACAGATTTGGAGAAATGGGGCATTACATCATTTGCTCACCAATGGATCCTCTGCAGTGAATGGGTGCCGTCAGAATGAGAGTCCAAAAAGCTGATAAAAACGTTACAATAATCCACAAGTAACCCACATGACTCCAGTCCATCAATTAAAGCATCATGAAGTGAAAAGTTGCATACTTGTAAGACACAAATCCATCATTAAGGCGCCAAAATACAAATCCATAATAGCGCTTCCTCCAGTGAAAATGTGCATCCCGTTGTCCTCTCACATCAAAATTCACCAACATATTTGTTTACAACAGTTTTGGACTGTTTTGGCTTGCTGGATGTATGCATTTTTCTCTCCTGATTCAGACAAGATTAATTTGCCAATATTATGGATCGAACTGATCGAAGCAATGGTTTGAAGTTAAAAACAACTTTGTTTCTTACAAGCACACAGATTTTTGATTCACAAGATGTTAATTGATGGACTGGAGTTGTGTGGATCACTTCTGGATTATTATGATGTTTTTATCAGCTGTTTGGACTCTCATTCTGACGGCACCCATTCACTGCAGAGGATCCATTGGTGAGCAAGTGATGTAATGCCACATTTCTCCAAATCTGTTCCCATGAAGAAGCAAACTCAGCTACATCTTTGATAGCCTGAGGGTGAGTACATTTTCATTTTGGGTGAACTATTCCTCTAATCAGACTGCTTCTGCAGCCTTAGTGTCAGTAAAAACATGTGGGAATTAATTAGTTGTGCTGGCATGTGGTCAACAACTTCTAATTCAATAATCAAGGAATATTGTTCATATTTTATGTCTAAATATTTGTTGATGTTTTGTTCTAAATATGTATGACAAAATAATTGTTTATGACAAAACATTTTTTTATCAACTGGCCATTTTGACCACCTAACCTCTGTCGTTCAGGCTGGCTCTGACAGCTGCTGCATACTGTTCCTCTTCTGACAGTCCTGCTGTATAGGGATGCTGGGATGGTGCAGAGGGCATTGCTGTGTCATATGGCTCCCTGTAGGGGGCGCCATACTGCCTGCGAAAAAATGACTGCTGTCCATAATGGGGGTTTGGAGGATATGGCATGCCATATCCACTGTATCCTGTGAACACAGACATACACATTATAGATCTTGAGGATTGAGGATGTCGACAGATTGATGCTACAACGGTCTAGTTAACAATCCCTAAATCACTCGATCTTTATTGGTTCTCAGAGCCATTTCTAGGACAGTAGTGATTCAAATCAGGTTGCAGTCTTTACAACTAAATGAATATTTCCATATAAAACAAAAAGAGCAAAACTGTTTACCTGATGAGTTATAGTATGTTTGTTGCCCTCCATAATGCCCATTAGATGTCACAAAGCCTGAAATGACATAGTCATGGCTGTTTATGTGGCTGGCTGGATGCATTAATTTCTGAATTAAATGTTTGTGGTTGATAAGTCTCTTATGCTTCTATTTTAATTTTAAAATGTAATTTATTCTTTTGATGCAAAGCTGAATTTTCAGCATCATTACTCCAGTCTTCAGTGTCACATGATACTTCAGAAATCATTTTAATATGCTGATTTTCTGCTCAAGAAACATTTTTTATTCTATCAGTGTTGAAAACAGTTAATGTTTTTGTGGAAACTGTGACTCTGGAAGTTCAAAAGAACAACATTTATTTGAAATAGAATTCTTTTGTAGCATTATAAATATCGTTACAGTCACTTTCGATCAATTTAATGCATCCATGCTGAATAAAAGCATTAATTTCCTTTAAAAAAATATACTGAACTGAACTGAGCGTATTGAATGGTAGTGTATACGCATATTAACATAGTGAAGTTACAAAGAGGTCAAACACGCTTATACAAAAAAAACATTGAAAATGTGTTTACCTGCACAGGTTTTCATGAGTCTCTTTAGTGGTCCAGTCGTGTAGAGCAGACCGACCAGAATCCCAGCCAGGTGTCCAACAAATGACGTCCTGCAAGAGATGTGTGTGAATGTCTGTTAATACAAGCTGTGAATCAGGTCCTAGGCCTACTACAAATAAAAAAATTTTAAAAAAATTACTCTAGCATCTTTGAAATGTGTTTCATGCCTACCCAGGGTTCATGAAATGGATGAGGACCAACTCTACCCAGCAGGCATAGCGATTAGCAATGTGCAGCTCCATGAAGTACGTGGCCCCTCCTGGATGATAATGATTATTCACCACCTTCAGCCCAAACAGAACACCTGAAACGAATCCCAAACAGCTTCAATGCTTATTTCTTAGTAGAAAAATATAAAAGTGACATATATGAATCAATTGATTTCTGATATCTGCTCCATTTTTATTCTTTCCGCCAACTTTTATAATGTTACAAAAGATTTCTATTTTAAATAAATGCTGTTCTTTCATCAAAAAATGTTGCTTGTATAATAAATCTGCAGAATTAGAATGATTTCTGAAGAATCATGTGACACTGAAGACTGGAGTAACGATGCTGAAAATTCAGCTTTGCATCACAGGAATAAATTACATTTAAAAATATATTATAATAGAAAACAATCATTTTAAAGCATATCTAATCTATCCTGATCCATCACACCCGAGAAGCCCACTGCACACTGTAAACTATATGACGAGTCTTCTGTCATGTGTGTCAGTCCTGTCTCCAGGAGCAGGTAGACCAATCCGGTGAGCAGAGAGAAGACAGACAGCAGATACGCAAACCAGGCGCCCCCCAGCTTCCTCTCCAGCTTGATGCCCTTCCAAAGGAGAGAGGCCATGTTGAAGTATAAGTGCATGTCGTCAACATGGTGAAACGGTGACAGCAGTAGACGACTCCAATCTCTGTACCAGTACGCCTCTCGAACACTCAAACACGTCTGCGAAACACAGAAACAGACCAGAAAAACCTTTAAGAACTTTCTACAACTTGCCTTCATTGTAACTTGTGCAACTTCCTTCTTTTTCAATGTATTTGTTTGTTAATTTGCCAGTTTATCAGCTGGCAGATTTTCTCCATTGACTCGCTACTGGCAGATGTGACCCGTTTTTGGTGTCACATCTGCCAAAAAAGTTTATTTTATAATAACATGTACCTGTAGGAGGGGTTTGGCAGGAAACAGGAACAAATAGACATTCAGACCCAGCGTTGCAAGAGTGACATGTGGGATGTTGTCGATTCCCAGCTGGAAAACCTGACAGGCCAGTAGGAGCAGGCCGAGATTGGATCCCCATAGTCTATTACGCATCTGAAAAACATACAGTAGAGTATTAGCATCTAAAATACACAACCAACCACATCTTCAAACACACAGAAGCAGGGTTTAATCGGTGTAAAAGTTTGTTTACATTTCTTGACAGACTGCTTCTCACTCATAAATATTGTGGATTTAGTTAAGAATCATTCCAATTGCAATTCATACACATCTGTCTACAGAGCATCTAAAATTATGAAAGGGGTGCTATTATGCTCCTTTACAAAGTCTTGATTTTGTTTTGGGGGTGTACTAGAACAGGCTCTCATACTAGGTTGTTCGAAAAACACATTATTTTTCACATATTTTACATTATTACAACACCTCTCTCCCCAGTCTGGCATGAACGGCTCGAATAGTTCCTGTATCAAATGAAGGCCCGCCTTCTGAAATACGAAATGTGCTGTGATTGGTCAGCTGGGCCAGTGTGTGTTGTGATTGGTCAGTTGGGTCAGTGTGTGCTTTGATTGGTCAGCTGGGCCAGTGTGTGTTGTGATTGGTCAGCTGGGCCAGTGTGTGCTGTGATTGGTTAGCTGGGCCAGTGTGTGTTGTGATTGGTTAGCTGGGCCAGTGTGTGCTGTGTGTGGTTAGCTGGGCCAGTGTGTGCTGTGATTGGTTAGCTGGGCCAGTGTGTGTTGTGATTGGCAGCACTCGGCGTCTGGTTGGGAAATGTCATGCCCTTTACCATAGCCGCCAGCGAGCTTCAGTGTAAATATTGCGTCAAAATCAAATCAAAATCAAATCGATTTAAACCCGGATGATTGTAACCACTCTAAGTTCGTCTGCCTTGAGAAAGCTAGCGTGTCTCCGACATAGTGATAACACTCGTTGCCTGCTCTAGTGCAGCTCAACCAGGTCTCGTCCCATTCGTCAATATTTGTGATATCACAAATCCCGGAAAATATGCATTGTAGTCCAAACGAGTCGTTCGTTGTAGTTTTTGAAAAGTGATTTCTGTTAAATAAAATATCTCATTTTGAAGTGGACTTTGAGCTTTGTAACTTTGCAGATCTTTTTCATGCTCAAACAGCAACATTACAGACTAACTAAAGTTGAAAAAGTGAAAAAGCATAATAGGACCCCTTTAAGCATGATTGGCATCTGGCTAGCCAATTGCAGGTTGCAGGGAGGGGCATTTCCATTCTTGAGAAAATCTGATAGGACAAAAACTGTAGTGCAGGATGAGTCATTCATATTTGATGATGAAAGATGTTGACATTTTAAGTGTATTTTTTTTCAATTTGTCGAAAAATATTCTGGCATATAGTTAGCACCAAAGCTAAAAAAAAAATTTTTTTTTTCATAGGGTAATTAAATGTAGTTGTGTATTTCATGTAAATTCAACATTGTCGGAACTGGGTCTTACATCATAACAATAATTATTTTGTTTCATTTGGCAATAAAACTATCAAGCATGGATGGTAAGTGGTGCACACACAAGAGCCTTTAAGTAAAATATTATCAAAAAGAGAAATCTATTTCTTTCATTAAATAAAGAATCTATTATCCATACTAAACTGTCAATTTAAGAGAATATTCTGGGTAATATCATGCATGCACTGTCAAACTCAGTTCCTGGAGGGTTTAGTTCCAACCCTGCTCTAACCACACATTGCATGTGAATAAATAAGCCTGAAGGGACTTGATTAGCTGGATCAGCTGTGTTTAATAGAGAATGGGAATGTGTCGTTACAGCGGCAATGCATTCTGGGAATTTAGGTCACGGGAGCTACAGCGGAGACTGGATAACATAGTGAATGTAGACGTTTGGGGATTTAATGTTTATTTTATTCTACTTAAGATCGCGTTGGAGTGGTTAAGGCTCACTTTACATCATTTGCCATAGCCCTTTGCACGGCCGTTGTGAAAAACGTGCTTTTTTCAGCGTTAGAAAACCGAAAGAGCAGAAGTATTTCCTGCAGACATTGATAAGGGCTATGCTATAGCCCTTAATTATCAATCTCTGCATGAAATACCTCTGCTTTTGATTAACGCTATGTTGATACAGTAAGCGTTAATCATTCCAACTCGATCTTAAGTTGAATCATATAAACAAAATAATATAAAATGTCTGCATTCACTACGGAACTCGGATGAAAGTTAAACTGAAACTGTATGGTAAACAACTCAAATAAGATGTGGCTTAATAATTGATCTCTGTAGATTTATTATATACAGTGCATTAAACTGTAAGCCCTCACACCACAAATAGAAGAAAATCATATATGGAAACGTTATCTTGCGGCAGCTTCATTCATTCATTTATTTGATCGCTTGCATCGTTGTTCGGCATCTCTAATAGTAAGGAATCTTCAACTTGGTTCATTCAAGTCAAGGTAACGGGTTTGGAACAACATGAGGGTGAGTAATTAATGACAGAATTTTCATTTTTGGGTGAACTATCCCTTTAAGATCGCATTGGAGTGGTTAAGGCTCATTTTAAATTATTTGCCATAGCCCTTTGCACGGGCGGTGTGAAAAACGTCCTTATCAATGTCTGCATGAAATACCTCTGCTTTTGATTAACGCTATGTTGATACAGTAAGCGTTAATCATTCCAACTCGATCTTAAGTTGAATCATATAAACAAAATAATATAAAATGTCTGCATTCACTACGGAACTCGGATGAAAGTTAAACTGAAACTGTATGGTAAACAACTCAAATAAGATGTGGCTTAATAATTGATCTCTGTAGATTTATTATATACAGTGCATTAAACTGTAAGCCCTCACACCACAAATAGAAGAAAATCATATATGGAAACGTTATCTTGTGGCAGTTGATACCCAGCCACTTGTTTGTACGGATTAAGTTTCATTCATTCATTCATTCATTCATGGCTTCCATCGTTGTTCGGCATCTCTAATAGTAAGGCATCTTCAACTTGGTTCATTTAAGTCAAGGTATTATATAGCATCCACAATACACATCGTTTCAAAGCAGCTTATAGTAAGTTCTGTTCCCTCTATAATGGCTTAATTCTTTACACTGAGAATTTTTACTGGGCAATATGACGATATATAATGATAAATGATCCACTGTTTGAGATCTAGTTATGTTTCTCCCCTTTAAAATTAACCATGATTTTGCTACTCTAACCAAAGTGTTTTAGCAGTTAGCCTATATCAGTACCACTGTAGTGAAGGAGACTGAATAATGAATATTTGCAGCCTCTC